GGGGGTAGCAATTTGTACAAGTAATTGTCTTGGACTGGTGGCCGTAAAAGTAGATTCGACTGTAGTTTCAAATGATTTCTCCGAATGCCAGAAGCAGGAAACTGCTGTGTTCGACCGTTCCATTATAAATTCTGGTGTAATTTCGTCAAATCTAAAAATTGGATCTTTATGCCATAGCTTTGTTCTTACTAATAACTGGCATGCCTTCTTGTGCTTCTCACGATATTAATAGATCTAGTGTGGTATATTGTGGTGATATTTCTGTTGTTGGTCTTTGTTCGCTTGTTGTCTCGTCTACCACGGCGTTTGTGAGTGTCGCTCAGTGTGTCTTGGGGTTGTGCTGTGTCGTTCTGTGCGTCGAGTTGATCCAGCCGTGCTGTTTCGCTCAGTGCGTCGTGTTGCTGTTCTGTGTCCAGTGTCCGTTCTCATCAGTCTCATGTGTGCGTCAGTCGCTGTGTGCCACTGGAACGAGTAGGGTGTTTTGTTTTTTTCTTTTTGTTTAAATTACACCAGGCTTTCAAGTATGGCTTGTTCCATCTTGTTTTATTACAAAATGTGTGTCCAAAAAGTCCAGAATCTTGATTATTTACGATGGTAATATTTCCAGACACAGTGTGTGTGTGTGTGTGTGGGGGGTGTCAGTAGATTCATTATCAGCTGTTTTTTGTGTTGTTCCCGCACACTTCTGAGTGCAAAACTAAACTGGCAAGATTTTGTTTTAAACAATTTGGATTTTGTTTTTGCTGATGGTGTAAACAAATCAAATTTAACCCAAGAAGGTAAATACGAAGTAGGTTATTTTACAGTTGGCTCTTGTGTTCTGTGTCCAGGGAAGGCAAACCTAGCAAGCGAGGACCCGGCAGACCGCCTAAGAAAAAGAGTCCGGAGAAAAGATCTGATGATGACAGGTGAGTGGCTTGTTCATCTGTCAATAGTAATAATATTGTCATCAATAATTTATTTTTAGTATAGAGGCACCAGCCATCCATGTTCAAACGTTGTTTTAGCCTTGCGCATCTGTCCGACTGTCCTGTCCGTACTGTGTGTTTGTATACGAGGACATCAAGGGAGAAAAACAGCATTATTTGTCACAGGCAAAACGAAGTGGCTATTCGGACCCAAACCCCAATACTGTAGAAGGGTTGTTGCTTGTCCAACACTATCAGAATATGTATTTTGTTTTTATGATGTGGCTAACAGGTATATAGATCTAGTCATTTCTGAAAAAAAAGTAGGGATAGACTAAATAAAAGATGCCACTGGCAGGTCTCTCTTCTCTACATTCATATGTTCTTTTTTCTATAAGTGTTGCTTTTTCTTACTGCTAATTGACAGTTATTCAAGCTAAAAACTGAACTGACACCTTTCTGGACTTGCCAATGTCATTCTGAAGGTGGGCCGCATTTTGTATTGCTTGTACCCAGTGTCCATTGGGGGAATCGGTTCTCTAACACAAACCGATAGCTCGACTCGCGTCCTTGAAAACAAACGCGTTTGTTTTTTTAGGGTCACCGTTGACTTCGTTCGGTTTGTGCCACGGTGGTGTCTTTTCACCCTCAATCTGGCTAGCCCCCCCGCCTACCGAACTGAGCCGCACGCTGGGTATTACAACACAATATGTTGACTGTCGTTGTTGTCTCTCCC